ACACACACACACACACACACACACACACACACACACACACACACACACACACACCCATTAGCCATTCTCCTTTCTTTTAATTTGTTAAGCAAATGTATTTGCCATAGCTGGATGCGTTTGTCCAAGGGTGAATTCTTGGGGACTTTGGCCCCTGAATGGCCTATAGCGGCATTCTGCCATTCACGCATTCATTAACTGAGGGGTGAGGAGTGAAAGGAGCGGCCTTGTATTTTCTCAAACTGAGGGGGCCAGCATGGAGCTCCTCTTCCATGAGCCGCAGGGGTCTCCCTACATATGTTCTCAACATCCAGCCATTGTCACGTCTTCTGAAAAGCTCAAAAGGACAGGACCCCCTCCTTCACACACAGAAAAACAACACGGGCCAATAGTAACAACTGTTGGCTTTTAGATTCAGTATAACAAAATTGCCCTCTCCCTCTCCCCTCCTCCTCTCAAAGGCTTCACTTTGACCTCACACTCGCTCGGGAGAAATCACACAGTTGTTTTCTTCGTAACACTCGGGTACAGGAAGTAAACAAAATTCAACTCATATTCACCTCTAATCAAACCACAGCAGCAATCCAATATGTCCAAGTGCACACTTTGGACACATTGATCCCACAAAACATTACTATGTAGAAGATCTGATATTCTAACCCCATAAATATTGAGGTCACATGCACATATTCCAGAGACCATGTGAACTGGCAGCATGAAATGTCCCACATGTAATTGGACAACATTGGACAGATCAGCTGATGTTGGCTGGCAGAAGAGGGTCAGACTGTCTCCACACTCCCCTCTATCCTACCTCCAGCTCTTTCCTCACTAATGCCACCCCGTCTCTGTTTCTCTCTCCACGTGTTTCTGGATGTCTTCCAGCCACATTAGGGGAAGGGAAATCCCAGACTGTTGATATAAGCTTTTCAATACTACAGGGAGATTATGTTATCAGAAAGGTAAACTTCACTGTTAGGGGTAAAATGTTCTGCTGCGCTTCAAAAGCAAGGCACTATGGAGATTTGACTGGCAGATAATAGGAATATAAAAGGATAACCACTCATGAAAAAATGAAGAGAAGAATTGCTTTCTTACACTCGTAAAAAATGATGCCCTTTTGGGTTTGGCAAAAGAAAACTTTAATTTTACAATTAGCCCCCCAGTGCCCTTGGCCTTTCCTTCCCTCTCACCCCTGCTAGCCCTCACTCACCCCTGTAAAGACAAGGGTCGGCCTTGCAATGAAAACAGGAAGCACTCAGATACAAAGAAACCAATCTGAGCTCCGGCCTTGTCTTTTGACTTGTGTAAACCCTCAAACACCTATGAAAATAAATAAGGGACCTTGGGAGCAAGCGTGACAAGTTAGAAGTTTTTTGTGTGAACTGTAAAAGGAGGAAGGGAAGGACCTTGTGATGGAAAAAGAAGGAGAGTGGTCATTTTGAGGGGTAAGGAGGTAGCCCCTTTAAGCATCAAGCATCTCAGGTTCTGTGCTGGGCCACCCTTTGGCCCGGGTGTTTGGGGAAATGCTGTTAAGCTGCTAAGCCAGGTGTATTGGTCCCCTGGGCTCCTTGAAAGGGAAGTGATATATCCTTTGGTGATTTAGAGAGTCTTTGGAGTGTGAAGTAGAACTAAATGCACAGAAGTGAAATGTTTGCGTGTGATTGGATTACATTTTAAAGTTATACCAGTACAACAAACTGCTGGTCTATAACACTTATACAGACTTTTAAACTGTGTTTCCACTAAAGTTGGTTCATAAAACGACATGGTTTTCTTGCATACCTTTCAAGAACACTTGTGCAAGAGCTCCAGAATGCAAGTGTTGCGACAACAACCCAAGTAATATCACTAAAGGAGTTGAGAGCATTGTGCTGCAAACATCATTAGATACACCAGTGACAGTGTTTCAGCCCCCACCCCAACCCAAGCCGAACATAGCATTAGTCCCCATGACAACAGGGTGTCATCGTCAGGTCGAGCCCTCCTGTGGGAGCTGCTCTCTCTGCCACCCTTTATAGACGCACATAAAAAGAGCCGGCAAGGGTCATTCAGAAGACATGGGCACAGGCAAGGCCGAACCCTGGCAACGGATGTTTGTTCCATACAATAAACAAGTGTACAAGTCTGTGCCACAGAAAGGAGAGGGCATGTTGTTTGTGTGGACCAGACTGTCAGACCTGTGGTGTCCCCAGTTTTGTTTAAGCTCCTCTTGTCCTTCTAATCCCCTTGTGTTGTTCCACTACAAGCTGCCTTCAAATAGTGGAAACACACATCTGCAAATAGTTTGAAGCACTCAATCTCTACCCTTTCTATGCTGAATCACCGTATTTCTTTCCTATTCATTGGTTCCTACATAACTGAATGCTTATTTTATTAAAACCAGTGTTGTATAAAGTACCACAAAATGATACTTAAGTAAAAGTACAAGTATCTTACCAAAACATGACTTTGGTAAAAGTTGAAGTCTCTTTTAGGAATATTACTTGAGTAAAAGTCTTAAAGTATCAGATTTTTTTTGTACTCAAGTATTAAAAGTAAAAGTATTGAATTAAAATGAGCAGTTAGATTTTCTGTAATGCCATTTATTAGGAGGTGACCTCCCCCAAAAATGCAGAAATGACTATGTCAAATTTAGGATGTACTAGTCTAGATGTTTCACTTTATATACATATATCAAGGCTGCCCAAACTTTTTCCCCAAAATGAAAATCTTTCAGAGGGCTGTGGCCAAATACAATAATATAATTCATGAAATACAAATACTTCTTAAGTACAGTCCTTTTATTTTAATGATTATGTCCTGCTGGAGTGTGATGATTTGTTTGTGTACAAACTAATATGATGTCAGAATTTTAAATATTTATACTTCTCATTCAACCACAATTAAATTCACTCTATCTAGGAGGCACAGTTTATATGGATAGTGTTTATTTTTTTTTACAACAA